TTTGACGTCAGTAGTGGGGAAATTTCTTGAATCAATTATAGCAGATAACATCCGATCGCATATAGAGAAAAGCAAATTAATCTACGACTCTCAACATGGGTTTACAAAGGGAAAATCTTGTCTAACAAATCTGCTGACATTTTTTAGGAAAGTCTTCGAGGTAGTAGATAATGACGAAAATTACGATGTTATTTACTTAGACTTTAGCAAAGCATTTGACAGAGTACCGCATCAGAGGCTTCTGAGAAAAATTAAGGCTCACGGTATTGAGGGGAAAGTTTTAAATTGGATAAAATCATGGCTCACCGATAGAATGCAGAGGGTCAGCGTAGATGGTGTTAAATCTGAGTGGGGTCGTGTAACCAGTGGGGTTCCCCAGGGGTCAGTACTAGGCCCACTCTAGTTCATAATCTACATAAACGATCTAGATACTGGGATCAGCAGTGACATAAGGAAGTTTGCGGATGACACCGAAATAGGGCGGCAGATTAATTCAGGGCAGGATGCAAATGCATTACAGGAGGATCTAAATAAACTGCACGGTTGGTCTGAAAAATGGCAAATGAAATTCAACACCAGCAAGTGCAGCGTACTTAATATTGGAAGAACAAATACTGTCAATGTATACAGCCTTAACAACATCAACCTAGAGAAGTCGACTTGTGAAAGAGACCTGGGGGTACTTGTAAGCCCGGACCTACGGCCTAGAAAACAGTGCGTTAATGTTCGAAATAAGGCAAACAGAGTATTGGGTTTTATATCTAGAAGTGTAAGTAATAAGAGTGCAGAGGTCTTATTGCAACTATATCTTGCGCTAGTGAGGCCGCACCTCGATTATGCGGTTCAGTTCTGGTGCCCTTATTATAGAATGGATATCAATTCACTAGAGTCGGTGTAGCGAAGAATGACGAAAATGATTCCGGGACTTAGAAACCTTCCATATCAGGATAGGTTAAAGAGTGCGAGGAGATATGATAGAAGTATTCAAGTGGGTGAAAGGAATCAATAAAGGTGATATAGATAAAGTTCTTATAATATCCGAGCAGGATAGGACTCGGAACAACGGATTCAAGTTGGATAAGTTTAGGTTTAGGAGGGAGATAGGAAAAAACTGGTTCACAAATAGGGTGGTGGACGAGTGGAACAAGCTTAGCAACCTTGTAGTAAGTGCTGGAACGCTGGAAAATTTCAAAGGGAGGCTGGATAGATTCATGGATGATAGAGAGTGGTAGTAACTCTCGACAGAAGCTGCCATCCACAGGCCAACCGGCCTATTGCAGACTCCTTATTTCCTTATGTTCTTATATTTACAGTACCTGCTTTTATTGTACCACCAAATCCGTTTTATCGGAAATTATCATGTAAATAAATAAGTAATTACCATTGCAATGCACATAATTGCCAACTAGACATAATCCTGAAAGCTCTGTCCTCTTGTTCAACCTTATTACTGCACAACCCAGGTTGTACTGCTCCCCCATTATACTTATGTTTTTAAATTCCACTCTAATTTATATGTATATATATATATATATATATATATATATATATATATATAATCAACACCTCAACCTGCCAGGATTCGAACCCACGGCACACAAGCCTATGACTGTGACCGGGGAACGCTAACCGCTGGACCACCAGGATACTAAAAGCAGTCCTAGACTTTGTTATATTTCACACTAAGCCTGTTCAACGAGCTTATGGCGCCGTGAACCTCTAATGGGGACCACCCGTATCACTTAGGTGGTCAGAGTAACGTTTTACCAAATCCGGCTTCGAAACACGAGGATCCATATATATTTCATTACCCCAATAAAGCACGCGGACTTCTACAATCACCACCGCCAGATTCGAACCACGGCAAAGCCTATGATCTGACCAAACTAACCGCTACCAGATACAGCAGTCCTAGACTTGTTATATTTCACAAAGCTGTTCAACGAGCTTATGGCGCCGTGACCTCTAATGGGGACCACCCGTATCACTTAGGTGGTCAGGTAAGTTTATCAACCGCTTGAAACACGAGATCCATATATTTTCATTAGCCCAATAAACGCGGACTCTACATACAATCAACACCTCAACCCGCCAGATCGGCCCACGCACACAAGCCTATGACTGTGACCGGGAACGCACCGCTGGACCACCAAGATACTAAAAGCAGTCCTAGACTTTGTTATATTTCACAAAAGCCTGTTCAACGAGCTTATGGCGCCGTGAACCTCTAATGGACCACCGATCACTTAGGTGGTCAGAGTAACGTTTTTCCAAACCGGCTCGAAACACGAGTCATAGGCTTGAGTGCGGGTCTGAATCCTGCTGAGGATTGATTGTATGTAGAAGTCCGCGTGCTTTATTGAGCTAATGAAATATATATGGATCCTCGTGTTTCGATGCCGGATTTGGTAAAACGTTACTCTGACCACATACGTGATACGGGTAGTCCCCATTAGAGGTTCACGGCGCCATAAGCTCGTAGAACAGGCTTTGTGTTAAATATAACAAAGTATAGGACTACTTTTACTATCCTGGTGGTCCAGCAGTTAGCATTCCCCCGGTCACAGTCATAGGCTCGTGGGCCGTGGGTTCTTATCCTGGCGGGTTGAGGTGTTGATTGTATGTAGAAGCCCGCGTGCTTTATTGGGCTAATGAAATATATATGAATCCTCGCGTTTCGAAGCCGGATTTGGTAAAACGTTACTCTGACCACCTACGTGATACGGGTAGTCACCATTCGAGGTTCACGGCTCCATAAGCTCGTTGAACAGGTTTTGTGTGAAATATAACATAGTCTAGGACTACTTTTAGTATCCTGGTGGTCCAGCGGTTAGCGTTCCCTGATCACAGTCATAGGCTCGTGGGCCGTGGGTTCAAATCCTGGCGGGTTGAGGTGTTGATTGTATATAGAAGCCCGCGTGCTTTATTGGGCTAATGAAATATATATAGATCCTCGTGCTTCGAAGCCGATTTGCAAAATTGTTACCTGACCACCTAAGTGATACGGGTGGTCCCCATTAGAGTGTTCACGGCGCCATAAGCTCGTTGAACAGGCTTTGTGTGAAATATAACAAAGTCTAGGACTGCTTTTAGTATCCTGGTGGTCCAGCGAAGCATGCTCCTCGGTCGCCAGTCATAGGCTTGTGTGCCGTGGGTTCGAATCCGGCGGGTTGAGGTGTTGATTGTATGTAGAAGTCTGTGCTTTTATTACTAATGAAATATATATATATATATATATATATATATATATATATATATATATATATATATATATATATATATATATATATATATATATACTGATAACCACAAGGGAAGAAGAAAACACGAAGTTCCCAAGCACTTTCGTGTAATTCACATCTTCAGGGGTGAGTACAGACTAAGGACGACTTCATCGAACTCATCAAACTATGTATTAAGGATTGTAAATTTGAATTGAATTTAGAATATTATGCTCAAAAATTTGGTATGGCAATGAGTAATCCACTCTCACCTGTATTAATCAACCTATATATGGAATTCTTTGAAAAGAAACTATTAAGTAATATTTTACCACCTTCAGCAGTCTGGTTTAGATATGTTGATGAAAGTAAATCACTGTAGGTGCGCGTGATCTAGGTAAGGTATATGCTGATAACCACAAGGAAAGAAGGAAACGCGAAGTTTCCAAGCGCTTTCGTGTAATTCACATCTTCAAGGGTGGGTACAGACTAAGGAGATGTACAAAACAAGGTGTATATATACAGAGGAGGGTGAGATCAGGTCCACAATGGTCAGGTATTAGGTAATGACCCTACTAATCTTTAAATAGCACGGCAAGGGTCGGTAGTCAGGTCAGAGGGTAAGGTTGACCCAACCTTCTCACCTGGTTACAAATCTTCTTAATTACAAAATTGTCCAGTTTGTACATGCCATTACTCAAATTCATGTTGAATGCTTCGGTATGTTTAATGAGACTAGATTCTATGATGTTCCTACTGTCAATTGAATTATAAGGTAATATTGAGGAGGCATTATCCCAGTCAATGTAATGCTTATTATATATATATATGTATATATGTATATATATATATATATATATATATATATATATATATATATATATATATATATATATATATATATATATATATATATATATATATATATATATGTATAGGTATGTGTATATGTATGTATAAATAAATAAAAAAGTAAATAAATATATAAAAAATAAAAATAATAAAATAAATAAATATTGAAGTGATAACCGTGGTAACATTATGAGATGTACTTATTACTACCATGCTATTGTACTATTCCAGATGATACTAAATGTTACATAATACTTCCTTGAGATAAATGTATAGTATATATCAGGTGCCTCAAAGAGAGGTCAGGTTCTCAACTGGCTCAGCCATGTTAATATTGTTATTATTATCCACTCTGTATCTGTATTTTTCTGGCTAAATAAACTGTTACAATTCAATTCAATTTAATTCAATTCAAATTTACTTGTCATTTTATTATCAACTCCACCGGAAAATATGTATATACTTATAATATATGTGCCCAAAAAAATAGATGAAGTGATAATAGTAGTAACATTCTCACATGTTCTAACTAACACCACGTTACGTGTGCTATTCCAGATGCTACTAAATGATACATAATACCTCCTTGATATAAACGCACAAGGAATATTAGGCGCCACTAAGAGAGCTCAGGCTCTCAAGCGGCTCAGTCTGAAAATATTGTTAATATTGCCCAGTCTGTATCTATATTTTTCTGGCTAAATAAACAATTTTAATATCAATATCAATGATGATAACGTTGTAGGTAAGAGTCATTTTACTACTGTTGTTACTGTGTTGCCAAGCCTGGTGTTATCAGTGTCCACCGTGACCTTCTTGTACAACATTTAGGTACGTGAGTTATCTTTACTCAGGTAATTTATCTATTTTTGGTACAGAAGGATGTGATGTCTTGGGACCAGTGTGACGGTTGACCCGTGGATGATGATGCGGCGACCTTGGTGGCGGTGGGTGGCGGTCATCCTTCTTGTGATAACACCTCTCCATTCTCAAGGTTAGTTACGGTGGTGGTCAACTGACCAGTGAACAAGGAAAGTTTTTGAATCCTAGTTGTCAACATTGTCTGGCCAAAATTTTCATCGCATAAATAATCACAACAACAAGTGTTGGGTGGAAGATTTAGAAAGTTGTTATGTAAATAACGTTTCTTTACCACCATGTTGATTCTTTCACCTTTATATGCTACCCTGCAGGATATTTTTGTAATGAAGTAAGACTAATTACTTTTTCAGAATGTGGTACAGTAAGGGGAAAGACGCTTTACATTCCTTTGTGTGGGGAGACTGCTACATACTCCTGGTATCCCCTCCAGATCGACCACAATCTCAAAGTGAAACTGCAAGGAGAAAAGATCGGAAAGATAAAGGTAAACGGAACTAAAGATAAGTTAAGCCACAATATCACCATCAACAGAGAATCTGCAAAGACAACGAATCGTGTCGAGGGCTTTATATCAATACCAACACTCAACTTTTCAGAAGAATTTTCTTATTCACAGAAAGACAATCTTGTGTATATGAAAATTAAAAGCAACCATCCGAGTGACATTATTAGACAAAGTGGAAACATTTCTTGCGGTAAGTTGTCGTTCACTCTACCTCATGTGTGTTGAGGATCAAACAATTATTCTACATATTTGTTTTTATCATCAGTTATGTGTCACAAGAATAAATAAACTGTAATATTCCTGTTTTTCACTTCCAGGTTGTCCTCTTAACAGCACAGCAGATCATCCAGCGTCAACCACAAGGACAGTCAAAACCAGAACAACTCCCACAGAGCCAACCAAGCCCAGAACAATTACCAGAGAGCCAACTAAGCCTACAACAATTACCACAGAGCCAACTAAGCCTACAACAACTCCCACAGAGCCAACTAAGCCCAGAACAAATACTACAGAGGCAACTAACACCAGAACAACTAACACCCAGCCCACCAAATTATCAACTGCTTTAGGTACCGTAGAATAAATCTTTTTGGGTATCTATGTATTTATGTGTATTTCTGAGTGAAAATGTATTACACGACACATGTGTGAAAATGTGTGTGTGTGTGTGTGTGTGAAAATGTGTGTGTGTGTGTGTGTGTGTGTGTGTGTGTGCGCGCGCGCGCTACACTTTTTTGAGAAAGTACATTTTATGGGTCAAAAAGCCTAATGTTTTATACTAAAGCGTATGTGAAAGTCTTTCCTTGTGGTTTAGTTGTCTTGTCAGTCAGTTTCCGGAAGAGTGTTGAATATATTCATATATTCTCAACACCATAAGAGTCAAATTATAATGAGTACTGTAGTTGTAGTGAATAAATTTACCTTTAACTTAAACTTTATCACCTGAAGAATGTTAGTCATATTTTCAATTTTGGGGGTAAAAAAAAAAAAAATTATATATATATATATATATATATATATATATATATATATATATATATATATATATATATATATATATATATATATATATATATATATATATATATATATATATATATATATATATATATATATATATATATATATATATATATATATATATATAATCTCATGTAGATCCACAATGAAAACGTGGATAAGATAAATCTTGATAAAATCACACAGGGAAAAGGGAAACAATGGAATACCTTAGCTTTCGTCTTTATTCAAGACATCTTCAGCGGCAACTGAATTACATGGACAGAGATTGATTCCCATTGATTGGGAAAAAAGCCTAGAACTATACAAATCATCATGTGTCACAGAAAGACTTCTGGTTGAAGCTAGTTTGATTAGGGAATTAAATTCAATAAACCTTAGTGATGGTCAGTACAAAACTGATAATATGTTACATAAATTTATTTGTCAGTGGCCCAAGGTTAAAAATTTTTTGAAAACCTTGGAGCTAGATATAGGATAGATATTTAGTGGGTCCCATATTTTTGACCTGACTTAACTTGACTAGTCACGTCGCCCATTCTCTTAAGCTCCTCTACGTGTGTGTTGGTGTGTGGATTAGTGGATGTCATGATTATGACATGACTTCATGTTTAATAAGGTCACCAGCTTTGGTGGTCTTCCTCGACCTGGAGAAGGCATTCGAACTAGCAAATCCACTGGCCAATATAACGACGCTCGCTGAAAAAGGCGTCAAAGGAAGGTTGCTGGGGTGGATCCAGAACTACCTCACACAGAGAGAAGCAAGAGTACGCTTTCAGGGAGCAACATCAAGCTACAGGGTCCATGAAAACGGAACCCCACAAGGAGGCATCCTCAGTCCAATGCTGTTCAATGTCCTGATGGAAAGTCTTGTCAAACCTCCTTTCAGACAAACAGCCAAGCTCCTATGCTATGCAGTCGACTTACAGCTTTTAGTAAGAGGATCAAACAGACTAGCCAACACGCAACACACACTCCAACTTATAGAAGAGGAGTGCAACAGACTTGGACTCAAGATAAATCCAGCCAAGTCGAAAGCGATGGCCATCTGCACAGACACACCAGACAAGATGCTCTCCATACAAAACACGCCGGTAGTCTGGACCAACACCCACCAGTGTCTTGGAATCTGGTTCGACCAGAAACTCACTTTCAAGCCACAACTCGAGTATCTCAGGCACAGGACGAAGAGCAAACACAATATAATGAGGTCGCTCAGCAGCACAACCGCAGGAGCGAACATACATGTGCTCAAACCCTACTACACTGCCGCCATCAGATCGCTAGTAGATTAAAGTGCTCCAGCACTCATTGGACTGAGAGAAGACCAGATAGCTAAGCTAGAAGTTATCCAAAATAATGCTCTCAAGACCATGCTTGGAGAACCCATGTGGACCAGAATTTGCAAATGGAAACTGAACTACCACCCCTGTCAGTACGAATCAAGCAGGTGACAGCCGGTCTCCTCGCCAAAATCTGTAGATCAGATAACCCCACAGCTGCCAAAACGCGAATCAGTGCCTCCCTCCACCTCGACCACAGAGTGCGAGGGGCCACCTGGTCGCACGAGGCAAGCGAGGTCATCCGACACCTGCAAGCAGAAACACTCGTCAAGAACAACCAAGACATACGAGACAATGGTTATGTAGTTCCTCCACCAGCCACATTCAAAATTACCGACCTAGGTGATAGCAAAGCCAACCTCCAGAAGGAGGACCCCAAAGAAATAACTCTGGAAGCCATAGCCACCGAGGCACCGGCTGATGCAGCATCATACTTCACAGACGGCTCGGTGGATCCAAAACATCATACATCCGGAGCGGCCTTCTACACCCAAGGTCAGACCCTCCTATGGAGACTTTCTAAGGACTGCTCCACCCTACAGACAGAGTTGGTAGCAATCTCAAAGGCTCTACAATACGCTGCAACACAACACAACAAGTCCATCATAATTCACACGGACTCGAAATCGGCCATGCAGGCGCTGCAACAAAGTCAACCAAGAGACAACGTCCACTTCATTACCTCGATTCTAGCACAACTACAGGGATAGGGGAAAACAACGTGGCAGACGAAGCAGCCAAGGCAGCCATACGTTCTAGAAGCGTACACATTCAAGTTCCAGCAAGCGTGCAACAGATCAAGAATCACCTCAGAAAGACTACCAAGCTCCACATCCAAAAGAGCTTCTTTCACGCATTCAACGCTGGTTCCCAATCAGCCAAATGGTACCTGGCGGCTACAAAAGGGGAACCACCTTTCGCGGACACGAAAACACCAAGACAAACACAAGTTAGCCTTCATCGACTACGACTAGGGTACAAGTACTCCTGGCAGACGATCGGAAATTTCGTCATGGAATGCACCTACTGTCAGGAGCCAGCGGCCAACCCATTTGAACACTATCTCCTCGACTGCGAAGTCACACAAAGTCTCCGAAACAGAATTCAAAACTTCTAAGAAGAACACACAACACCAACGGCCACTCTAACCCGAAAGGCCCAAACAAACCACATTCACCACCTTCTCCAGGTCATCACACTATATCCACCACCCAGATAGCTTAGAAAGTATCCTCTCCCAGCAAGTGCGGACCCCAGTTCGGGGGGCGCGCCACTCCGAAACTGACCACGTCCAAGAGTGGGGGTTGGTGGTAAACGTCCACTAATCGGGGGTCCGCTCAAACTTGCAACCTGCAGTATCCTTTCATATCTGCAGGTAGGACAACCTCCAATCCCAATTCCGGTCCGGCTGCTCCAGGAGCTCCAGCCGGAACCACCAAACGGGCCGCCTATAGGCAAAGGCCCGTGTCGGACTACGGTCCGACAATCTCAACAACAACACAACAACTATATTTAAGCCTCTCTCTGTCCATGTAATTCACTTGCCTCCGAAGATGTCTTGAATAAAGACGAAAGCTATGGTGCTCCATTGTTTCCGTCACTAGTCGGGAATCGAACCCTGGACCTCTGGACAACAAAAGTAATCCTAGGATATGTTTTATTTCACACAAAGCCTGCTCATTCGTTTTATTTTTAAGCAACGTGAACCTCTATAGGGGGAACGCCCATGCCTAGGATTGTTTTTTGTTGTACACAGCGATGCCTCACGTGAAAATTGCAGAATCTGAAACACTTGGTTATAAAAAATATCTGTGTTACAAGTGGCTCATGTTGTAGGAGATAATATAGCTTGTTGACCAAGAGAGGCGTTGATTGTTATGTTGGAGGTGCTACAGTAATTGGTTTTAGCTGCAGCAAAGTGCAGGGTAAAGATTTCCATCACTGGCAATGATAATTCTAGTCCTTGGAGCTAGTCTGGCCAGGTGGCCCAGGGTTATGACCATCCCTGGCCACGTGTTGGCCAGGCGAGATGGCCTGCCAAGCCGTTGGTGACTGTAATACCGGGTCTACAAATGTTCCTTGGGGGGAGGGGGGGGGGGTAGTGCCCTGAGAGATTTAACCATATATTTAGTAAGAGTGTGCGATTAGAGTTCATACAGAGAGGTCGTGCCACACTGACCCTGAGCTCTTTAATATCAGTTGTGAGACTTGTGGACTCTGGCGAATTAACCCTTAGAAGTTTCTAAGTGGATTGACCAAGGAGGTAAGCCTAAGTGTATTTAATAGTGAAACCTTCCACAATAACTAGCCATCTCCTTTGATATAAATGTAGTTTATTTAGCATACAAATGTTTATAGTGCAATTTGATATTTACCCAATCCTGTGATAACTTTACACCACTTGACAAATTGGGTGATAATTAGTAGGATATTGCTTCCCGATTTGGTTTTTGTGAGAATAACTGAAGATAAAGAAATTACCATTAAATCTTTAAACAAATAAAAAAATTTCATGTATCCCTTGGATGCGTTTTATTATGTCCTTAGACTAACTGTAACTAACTATATTTATAAGTATTTTGGCGCTGTTTGATGTGAATTTGTTTTAATGTTTTCCAGGAAAGCAAACCCCATGTTTCTGACTTACATCTTTTAATAATCTTAATTATTATTTATCAAACTTAAAGTGGCTTATATTTTACTTTTTAACAGAATGGTGGATATGGCCAGTTGTGATGTTATTTGCCTTAGCTGGAGGGATGAGTGTCTTCATCTTCATACATATACGAAAGACACTTGCAAGAGTCCCACGCTCCACGGACACCTCACTTCAGGGAAACTTCTCATTGCACTCTGCAAGGGATGAGACTCAACGTTCCACTTACAGGCCTCCTGCCCAGGGGATTCACAACCCGCAACACTCAATGACCTACCCAACACCTCTCTACCACAACCTGTCGAGTACAGTAAGCTGGCACACTGTGAACTTTGATGACGACGACTGCTACTTAGATGATCACATATACGAGGAGGTAGATGAAGAGTTGATGAGGAAGCGCATGGAGGCCGACAGAAGGGCCACAGACACATTTGTCGAGGGTGAACAGCGAGGGTCTGCTCATGAAAGTGATAATAGTCTTTATGGCTACTCTATCAGTCCATCATCACAACAGTGAGTAGTCCTACATCGTTTACGAGGAGTTGGTGGCTCTGAGGGTACTACCTCACGTTTCTTGATACATATGATCTACCAGTACACAGTATGGGCAGGGCAAACCGTACCTCTATGTCTCTTACAAGGTTATAAACCTCTTCTATAAGTGTAGTCACTCACCAGTGGGAGACAACCTGGTATGACACAGGCACTTCAAGATACTGACCTTCACCACCAATACATGTGAGGATATCACTAAGGCTACACGACAAGATGATCACAGTAATTCTCTGCACACGATAAATAATTTGGTCATTTCAACGTCTTTTGTGAATGTATATCATGATTTTTACGCTTTTTTGTTATTCTAGTCACGTTAGGCCAAGTCATGCTTAGTTACTTTTGCACTTTGACTTCCCCATCGTCATTGTTATATATATATATATATATATATATATATATATATATATATATATATATATATATATATATCAACGACCTCACCAGCAAGGAATCGAACCCTCGACCTACTGGGTGGGACTAGGGAATGCTACCGACCAACCCACAAGGGCATAAAATTGGATTACATACATACATGTGAAATAATTGGGCATAAAATAAATTGGATTACGTACATACATATGAGATAATTGGGTGTAAAATAAATTGGATTACGTACATAAAACCCAATAATTCCTTCACAGAATGCACACACTCGAGATGTTTCGGGTACAACATATCATAAAATAAATTCACGTTATCACGGAATACATCCTGACATTTGCAGATATAATGTACAACCAAATACAATCATTTTATTACAGAACACACATTGCAATGTTCACGGACAACCGGAAAGTTTCTTTTAAGCCAGATAACCCCAATGATCAGAAAATACAAGAAGAAAATAAGATAAAGATAATATGGAATTAAAGTGTGATAAATAAAGTAATTTGAAAATAGATAATAAATAAATAAACAACTCAATTCCGCCCCCAATATTGATTAATAGCAATAGGATATGTAAATCAAATACAGCGCCCCTATACTTCACGACGGAACCACAGTTACCCACAGAGATTTAGAATGCCTGCAGTTGCATAACTTATGCAACTGAATGACGAAAATGATTCTGGGACTTAGAAACTTTCCATATCAAGATAGGTTAAAGAAACTAAACTTGCATTCCCTAGAAAGACGAAGAGTGCGGGGAGATATGATAGAAGTATTTAAGTGGGTGAAAGGAATCAATAAAGGCGATATAGATAAAGTCTTATAATATCCGAGCAGGATAGGACTCGTAGCAACGGATTTAAATTGGATAAGTTTAGGTTAAGGAGGGAGATAGGATGGAACTGTTTTACAAATAGGGTGGTGGACGAGTGGAACAAGCTTAGCAACTTTGTAGTAAGTGCTGGATCGCTGGAATAGGTTCATGGATGATAGAGAGTTGTAGTAACTCTCGACAGGAGCTGCCATGCACAGGCCTACCGGCCAATTGCAGACTCCTTATTTTCTTATGCTCTCATGTTCTATAAGCGGCACTGAAGGGTTAAGACGTACCAGGCGTGGCTCTGGCAGCAGCCAGGTCAACTGAACTCTCCTCCCCACCGGAATATCAACAAGTTCTCGCCAGAAGTTACTATTTCATTTAGGAAATGAATTGAACCAGTGTTGAATAGTGGTGAACAGTGCTTAAGTCAGTGAAAAAACAACTCAACAGTAACAGCCGAGTCGTACTCAAGCTATCCTTCACACAGTGAGGTCCCAGGTACCCAATGATAACTGCCCAAGACTCAACAACACCAGCTATGTGTTAATCCGTCCACGATAGGGAGGCCTGGGACCACACCTCATTCACTTGAGTGAGTGAGGTCCTGTGACACCAGACCACGTGAGGCCCCTCACAACACCATCTGTGAGGGAATTAGCACACCACATCGGGCCCCTCATAACACCATCTGTGAGGGAATTACTACACCACGTGATGCCCCTCATAGCACCATCTATGAGGGAATTAATACACCACGTGATGCCCCTCATAACACCATCTGTGAGGGAATTACTACACCACGTCAAACCCCTCATGACACCATCTTTGAGGGAGTTTCTACAATACGTGTCTGCTGTTCAACACCTCAGCGCACATGTTCTACGTGACCTCCACTGTAAACATTAATCTGTATGTTCACTGTCTGTTCCTTTACCTTTCTCTAATGAAGGCTTTTGCTATACCACCAACAAATGTAATAAGTCATTTATGTCCAATGTATATTTTGAGCCTTCGGGCTGCAGAACTTTTTCAATAAACCGTTAATTATTATTATTATTATTATTATTATTATTATTATTATTATTATTATTATTATTATTATATTTTAAGTTTATAAAGATCTCAGAGCAGTACTTAATCGAGTGTTCATACCTGGTAGCTGGTGAATGCTCGCCCCGCTATGGGTCACAGCTTAAGGCGGAAGAAAGAAATATCCGGAAAACTTTTCAGGAGTGAAAATTGTGAATTCTTGGAACAGTCTGCCAGAGTGTGAGCTCTTTCAAGCCCAGACTTGACCAGCACTGGCGCAGGTACAGATACATTCTGGAAACAGTACATGCCCATTGCCTGTCAATAGTGCGTAACAGAAATGAACGACCGCCCAAGCGGCTAACGAGCCGATCAATGGCAAAGAGGATAAAAGTAAAAGCTGAACTTTGGAATAGCCCTAGACACGACTTTCAAAAACAATGAAGGGATCCTTCGCAAGCCACTGCCGTACTTCCCTCGGCATTACCAGTTGTAGTTGGATGGCCATTAGGTAAATAAGAAGGTAGGAAAATTAGGTTTGTATAAGCTGCATAGTGCACAGCATACAATGTGCATGAATATTACATTAGTTTCATCCTATTCAGTTCTCTCTGATGAGTTGAAAGAAATGTGAATATAATATGGTAAACTACTCTATTACGGCTATCGCACAACAATTTTTGATCTGTTGTAATTTCAAAGTAAAATTCTAGATCAGAATCGAAATAAACAAGAACCATTGAAAATAGAGGGAATATATAATTCTTTCCGAAGGAATTACTTTTAAACTTCGCTCCAAATCGGTAGATGTGTATGATATTTTTGTTCGAAAGCTCCTTTGGAAATAGTATCCTATTTTTCTTATCCAAATAATTATAAAGTGTGGAGATTTCCTCATCTTTCTAACTTAAAAATAATCTGCCTAAGACTAATTTGAACATCACAGCTCATTTCTTCTTTATCATTGAAAAGCAATAAATAAAATACAGCGTACTTACTTTGAAGTTTTCTCTAGGACTAGGCCTCCCTCATTACAAACTTTATCTTTTACTTTTCTTTTATCCCTTTCGCCACTGATCGGCTCCTTAGCAGCTTGGGTAGTCGTTTGCGTCTCTGTTACGCACTGTTGGCAAGTATTGGGCATGAACTGGCTCCTGAATATATCGAAGCCTGCCCCAGTGTTGGTCAAGTCTGGCCTTGAAAGAGCTTACACTCGGCACCGTCACAACACTCTCTGGCAGACTGTTCCAAGAGTTCACAATTCTCAGTCTGAAAAAGTTTGCCCTCACTGTTTTGTGAACTTGTGGCTTCTTCAGCCTTGAGCTGTGACCCCTTGAGGAAGGGCGTCCGCCAACTCCAGGCATGTACTGTACATTCGACGGAGTAGTGCCCCCTGATATGTTTATACACTCCAATTAGGCCTCCCCTTGCCCTTTATAACGGCTATTAAAACGTGTTATTTCTTAAATCAATCTACAGTTTACTTGTCTACATCCTGTCACATTCACTGGACGACGCAGCGATATCAATAGTGTAAAATTTTATTTCCTTGTAGCTATAAGATTGTTACTTTTTTGCTTGCATTTATTTCTCTGATTAATATATGGTCAAGAGGGATACATAAACAAAATGCCACAACAAATCACAAAATTGGTTAAGTGATACAGAAACATGACCATAAGCTCAGTTTCAAGTTAATTTAGTTCTAGGCAAGATATCAAGTAATATGTGCTCTGAGTAATCTGTTCCCCCCAAATTCTCGATTTTTTAACTTATTTATTCTCTGTTTATTATAAATGCAGCCTTACATCAATTTACTTTCGCTTTATTTTTAATGCAAAAATAGTAAACATATATGAAACTATTGCTTCTTAGTTACAATGTATAACACAGTAATGTGGAGAACATAAGATCTCTACCTTTACCAACTGTGTAACTGTTAAGGTGAACTGTTACTTGTTGTATAGCCACTACTTGTGAAGCTGTCATATACTGTATGTAACAACCTTCCTGGGTTGTCACCACTTGTAACAATCACTTGTGAAGCATGTTACCTTATATTCTAGAAGTACTAAAATATAGATAAAAGTTTATTGGGTCTTCAGTAACGAAATCCAATAGGTTCCTTTTGTGTATTTATTATAAAAGGTTTCTATGTACACTTTCAAAAAGGATTATCATCGTAACATAATTACTATAGCTATAAGTGTTAAATGAAGACGGAGGCTATTTTATAGTAGCTCTTCTAAAATACGTCCGATTGATGTGAGACTGGGAGTGATCTTGAGTAGGGACCCCCGAGAGAGAACGGAAATATATCCGACGTCCTCCCTTGAGGAAAGACGGAACCGTCAACGATGGCTCTAAATAATGTCTTCCTCTCGTCAGGGTTATAAAACTACTGCCCACAATAGGTGGTCAGAGAGCAGGTTACTTAATCCTTAGCTCAGCACCAAGTGGCGCGACTTCCCATGGACACACCTTATCACATACTCTGAACACGAACCTCATAGCTAGTGGAAAGTTACAGGGGATGATAGTTATAAAAGTCTAATGTAATTACCATACATTTATATAAATACTTCTGCCTACAAGACAAGGGCTAATACATCGCTCGGTCACACCTTCCGAACTTCGCGTGGAATAAACTAATCTCGCAGAAGAACCCTATACATATACCTAACCATGTCACATGCATATGTGCATAAACACTAAACTGGGGAAGCTGACACCTGCGGTTGAACAGCTACTCAAGACCTAGTCTGAAATGCCTTATGGGAGAGTATATTATATACAATGGCTAACTTGAAAGATTCTGACCTATAATCACAAAACAAAAATATTACTGCCAATATCAACACAATAGTGGGATTCGTTAACTTGGATATATCAAGTCCCATAATAACATGGCAGAAATAAATTTCGCCTATTTCCTGTTCTTAGCAATGAACAAATTTTGCTATAAATATAATCACGCTGGATGAATGAGTGTGTGGTGCTTGAGACTCTTCAACGAAACACTCACCTTTGCGGAGAGCAATGGTACCAAGTTGCGAAG